CCAAGCCAGAAACCGTGTTCAGGCTTGGGGCTCTACAATACCTCTGCAGTCCTTGACTGTGGCTCTCCCCAGCGCCATGAAAATCTCTCCTTTGTGGGGGTGGTTTTCCTCCCCCAACCCCCACCCCCATCCCTTTAACCACGTCTTCTTCATCCCGTCTACAGGCACCCACTCCTCAGCCTGTCCCACATGTGATTCTTCTGCAGGTCTTCCCAGCGTCCCCATCCCATTCTGCACACCATCTCTAGGGGGCCTCCCTCCCTCCCACCATTTCAGTTAACACGATGCAATGGTGACTCCCTGTTAGGCGTCCTGACCTGTCCCCCGGACTCCAGATCCCGATTTGTCACTGTACTGGTACTTATAGCCTTCCAGCTTCTTCCATCGTCTGGACATACTTGTTCTACCTTCTGGCTTCTTGGGCTCTGCTTGCAGTCCCTCCAATGCTTAGCATCCCAAATCAGAAATCTAAGAATCGTGCTGGACCCTTCCCATTCCTTTGCCATCTCGTCCAACCTGTTGCCAAAATCCTCTTGATCTTATCTCAGAGCTCTCTCTCAAATCTGAGCCTCTCCATGCATACTGTCACGGTCATAAACATAGCGAATACGTACACAGTTCCTAGGTTCTAGACACTTGTCTAAAAGGCACACGCCCTCTCATTTGACCTTTGCAACAACCCTGTGAGATAGGTACCATTAGTTTCCCCATTTCCCAGATGAGGAGAGTGAGGAACAATGAAGGGGAGGAATTTTCCAAGGCCACACGATCATGATTCCAGCCTAGGCAGGCTGCCTCTGTGCTCGTGTGCTTGACCTCTTTGCTATAATGCCTCTCCTGAGCTTTGCCCGTTTCTTCATACAACAGCATTCCATCAGGCCTCTCCTTCATCCTTCCTTCCCTCCTCACCCACACGCCCTCTAATGCCCTTCCATTAAATGAAACTAGTCACGCTAGAAAACGCCTAATGGCTCCCTACTGCCCACAGGGGAAAATCCTTTGGTGTGCATTCAAAGTTCTTCACAACGTGGCCCGACCCCCAACTCCTGCTTCCCCTGCCTCATCTCCCCCCATGTTCATCTTCTCACACTTACCCTGAAGCCACGCCCTTTCTCAAGGGAGCCCTCACACTCACTGGCTCCTATGCCTGGAATACTCTCGCCGCCCTTCTCAGCCAGCCAAATCCCTTACACTTCCCCTGCCCCCCACTTCAGACACCATCTCTTTGGTGACGTCCTCAGGCAGGTACCCAGGAGCTCAGCGCTACCCGTCTCTCATGGAATTCACTGAGCAGTTTTGCAATTTATCTTCTTACTCCTGACACACCCTCTCCAGCGCTTCGGAATGACTAAACATTCAAAGAATGAATGATGGGCCCCAAATCCAGCCAGCTGCGTCCTTCTGCCTCTGCCCCTACATTCCAAACGATTCTTTTCACGGGATCACACAAAATCATAAAGACTGGAAAGACATCATGGGACTTATTTTCCCCCACCCTCTCCAGCTCAGGGTGAAGAAATGGACACTCTCTTCCCTATTTCTCTTCGAAGAAAAAAGTGAAAGGAGAGTGGAAGTCAAACCAACCAGTCTGAATAGGTCATGAAAGAAATAAGGGAACCTAACAGACAGATTGCGGGAGCCTGAGAGATCACCCCATGCAAACTTCTTCATTTTATCCGAGAGGAAACTGAGGGCCAGGAAGATGGAGAGGTTTGTCTAAGGACAACGGCTAGTGAGAGGTAGAGAAACAGCATTGGTACCAGGACGCCTGCCTCCCCATCCGGGGATCTGGGCTTATCCTGTTGCCCCTCCACTTTCTTATCCTTCCCAGGGACGGCAGGGTAGCCCTGCCTCTGGGTCCCTGGGTCGTCCCACAGTTCTCCTCCAAACAGGCTCAGGCTGCTTTCCTGGGACCAGGAAGCTAACAGGCTCAGCGTGAAACTTCCTGATGAGCCAGTGTCCCTTGCTCATGCAACTGTAGGACTGTTTAGCCAGTATCTGGCTACAACTCCCGATTGCACCAACTGGCTTGAGGCTTTCCAACTGGGGCTTCACCGAGGGCTCATCCTTTGCTCTCCGGTGTCTGTCAACCCCTTCCCTGTGCCATACCAGGCTGCTCCTCACAACCACCCTTTCTTCCCTTCCCCACACCCTCTGCCTCCCATTTCCTCCCAGTTAGTCACAGTGAGGTCACACTCAGCCCCTGGCTCCCAGCCGCTCCCTGAGCACGGTGTGTGTGCCGGGAGCGGAGAGTGGAGAGACTGTAGAGGAGGATGCAGCAGGCCATCAAGGGAAAGATGGGCTCTGGAGTCCAAGAGATGTGGGTTCGAATCCTGGTTCTGCCAGGTGGCCAATTATGTGACCTTCGGCACATTAGTTCATCTCCCAAATCCTTTGCCAAAAAAAGGTGGGGCTGCCTGGGAGGCGCCTTCCTCGCCTGTCGAATGGGGATAGTAACCCTTGGTCTATAGTGAGAATTCAATGAGATAAAGTGCCCAAAGCCCCTTCCACAGAGCTTGGCAGGCAGTGAATGTTGGTTTACTTCCCTCCCTGTGAAGTGTGGAGGGATGACGGTCAACGCAGTGGCTCGAGAAAGCCTGGGTGCCCACCTGTAGGTCTGCAGGCGAGCTGGTATGAACGTGAACCTGTGGGTGTCCGTGTTGGATGGCACTGAGGGATAGAGTGACTGGTCGCAGGGAGGAGCCATGGGCGGCGGCGGGGGGTGGGTGGGTGGGATGGATGTGGATGCGCGTGAGCAGAGGAGTGCTCTGGCCTAAGAGTGTAAAGGAGTGTGACCTGGCTGAGCCTCTTTCTCCAAAATTCTCCCCTTCTTGAAAGGAAAGATCTGTCATGTCTGTTCTTGTCAGTAATGAGAAATCCAAAAACCCTTTCCAGGGGAGGGAGGAGGGAACAGCCCACCCCATGGGGCTCAGCTAAGTGAAGCAAATTCAAGCGAGGCCCACTCCTGGAAGAAGCCAGCATGCTTTCTCCCGACTGTTGGAGACACCACACCCCAAAAGATGTTCAAAGGGCCAGGGACCTCTCTGGATGCTGCCTAGGGCCAGAGGGGCTGCCCCCAGTCTTGTCCCAAGCACAAGGGTTTCTCAAGCTCCCAAAAGATCACATAGGCAGTTCAACCCACCAGGCCTGTGGAGCAGGCCACCTCCGGACTGGGCTGGTGTGGTCACATCTTGGTGTGGAATGGGCTCCTCCCTGTGCATCTTCTCCAAGGGCCAGGGACAGTGAAAGGTGGGTCCCAGGCTGCCATCCTGCCTCCTCAGGGTGGAAAGCACAGGGCACAGGCCCCATCCCAACCTGCTTAGGATTCTCCTTCAGGATCACAGAATCCTGGGGAATTTCCTCCATCCTCCCGCCCTGCAAGCAAACCTGGCAAAACTATCCCTGAGAGAAGACTCTGTCTCATATGCAAAGACCATGGGTGAGAAGCTGACTCTACTGTCTCTTTCCCTTGGTGGCTGTTCCGGTGTTTAACGACCATGTTGGTGGCAAGTCCTAAGTCTGAAGCCTCTCTCTACTTTAGGCCTCGCGTACAGAGAGAGTAGTTTGCCTCCACTCGTTAGACGACTTCCACAGTGAACAAAATGCAGAACGCCTGAGAGGTTTTGGCTTGGGACTCCAGATTATTGCTCTCTCTGACCATGAGGGATATACCCAGAAAGTACCCAGCCCTTTAGGAAACGTTAGTAGTGACTTCAAATCACTGTATAGATAAAGGAGTCTGATCTCCAGTCCCACCTCAGACTGTCACCTAAACTAGGACGCAGAATATCAGAGCAAGAAGGAACCCGTGATCCTCCAATGCACCCCCACATCAGGATTTTCTGCCCTTCCACCGCACTCTTCTCTGCCTGACAGAGTCCTACTCACCTTTTAGAGCTAGTTCAAATATTACCTCCTCCATGAAGCCTGCCCTGAGCTCCCAGGAAGAATGAACTCTTTCCATTTCTGTTTGACACCATGCTTTCTACACACCTCTAGTAAAGCAGGGTTGTGAGTGTATTAGAATTATTCCCCGAGGAGTCTCTCTCTCTCTCCTCCCTCTCCTTTTATCTCTCTCTTGCACTCTCCATGCTAGACTATAAGCTGCAGCAGGGCAGAGAGCATGTCTTAATTTTCTTTGTATTCCCACACCTGCCATAGTGTATATGCCCCACCCCACCCCCGGCCAAATTTAGGAAATCAATTAATTTTTCAGCTGAGAAAACTCAGACCACCTTAGCTTTCCTCCCACCAACATACCCTCCCACATCTGCTCTGGCATCATGCCCTGTGCGAGCCCTCTCCCCCCGGCTTCCCGCCAGCCTGATCTCAAGGGGGAAAGTCCTCTCCCTCTGCTCCATCCTTCCCTTCACATCTGTCCATCCCGCACTCTGTCCAACACCATCTGCCCCCACCTGAAGCCCTCCCAGACTAACTCGAACCCCACACGACTCGGTTTTCTTCAAAGGCGCCAAGCTTGTGTCTACACTGTCCCACGGAGCCAGGTTATACACTTTGTCCTGGGCTCTCTTGTTCTGTTCCTCCTGTTTGTCCCCTATCTTCCCCTTTCAATCGGGAGTTCCCTGAGGGTCTCAGGTCCTCCATCCTTGGTACCTCCATACATTCCTCTCTGAACAATTGGTCCACGCAGACCGACTCACCCAAGAGGCAACTCGGACTAAACGCCGTGACGGGAAGAGAGCTGTGGTTTTAGATTCTGCACCACATCAGGCAAGTACTTAGTCCTAAATAAGTGCTCCAGGTGTCAGTACTCTTTTGAGGGGATAGTGGGGACCCCAGCGTTGGCTTGTTGACTGGGGAGGGGCTGGACACAAAGGCCCTTGATAGGCCCCTGAAAGCTACAGAGCCTATGAATAAACACCCTCAAACTTGACATAATCTTCTTTATATCTCCCGCACCTGGCGTAGTCTAAGTGGCCGCCCCCTGCCCCTGCCCCTCAATATTTATAGAATAAAGGTTGCTTTCTGAAAGACCTTACCTGCCTGTTGAAATCTAGGCCATTTCGATCATTTCCTGAAAGAGATAAAAACGAAAGTATGAGTTGTTAGTGGGATTGGGACGGACTGAAGGTTAGAGGGAAATGGCAATGTGGGGGAGGAGCTTGTCTAGATTTTGAAAAAGAACACCCGCTTCCCCTGTGGCCAGGCTCTTCCTACTTATCCTGTTTCCTGGAGAGGTCTTTGGAAAATCTCCTCCAGGGTGGTGACTTGTCCGAGGTCACACAGAGTCACCCGGGATGGAACTTGACATCCCGGAGCGTGCGTTCTGTGGCACTCCCTCAGACAGATAACAAGCTGTCGTGGCTAAGCAAGGGATGACCGGCCACCTAACACGGCTGCCCCATCCTGGTCCTCCTGGGGACATGACACCTAAGTCATGTCAGATAGACAGGTGTCTGTCCTTGCTTTCTCCCCTCTGGCTTTCATTTCTTGTCTGTTCATCTCTTTCCTTTTATAACGGAACAAGTTATGGTGGGATAAGTAAATGTGTGCTTAATAGAGAAAAATATTTGTTATAGAGAAGTATAAAGTAGCAGAAAAATCACTCTGCCGAGGGGCAGCTATAATTCATATTTTTGTATATGTTATCATCTTTTTTTATGTTTGTTTTTCCTCATTGATATTCACCACCCTGTATAAATTTTACCCCGCTTTTCCCAGTGAACATCATTAATATTTCCCCTCTACTATTAAGAGGCACCATAAATCTTTTATTTCTCCAATGCTTGTAAACATCGTTTTTAATGGTTCCCTAATATTCCATTCTGGGGACCGTAGTTTGCTTAAATATACACCTATTGTTAGGGGGACTTGCTTCTATTGTTAGCTATAATAAGGTTTCCTTTTCCTATAATTATCTATGGCAGTGGAGCGCCTGGGTGGCTCAGTCGTTAAGCGTCTGCCTTCGGCTCAGGTCATGATCCCAAGGTCCTGGGATGGAGCCCCTCATCGGGCTCCCTGCTCAGTGGGGAGCCTACTTCCCTTCTCCCTCTGCCGCTCCCACTGCTTGTGCTCTCTCCCTCTCTCTCTGTCAAAATAAATAAAATCTTTAAAAAAAAAAAACCAAACCCCAAAAACCCCCACCAAACTATGGCAGGAGCCACCAAACATGCTTCCTTTATGCGCCATGGTTGGCTGGCTCTGTAACAGCAAGGACAATGACTACTTACTAAATACCATACATTCAGGGCATAGCACTGGGCTTAGTACATAACAGGGGTTCAAAATATACTGGTTGAATGAGAGAATAAATGGACAAGTGAATGAATTCAGAACTTTCAATCAGAAAATTCTTCTGCTTTTCATTGGCTCTTCAATAACTTTGGAATAAAGTCTCAATTCCTTAGCACAACACATAAATCCCCATATGACTGTCCCTCAGGATCCCACCTCACTCCCTCCCAGGCACCCTGAGCTCAGGTGCAAACATACCAAGCCTGTCCTGTCTCCACACTTGCCCAGAGTTGGTTAGCCTTGCTCCACTCTGGACCCCAGGAGCCCTCGCTGCCCCTGCATGGCACATCATGGGACTCCTTTTCTGTGCGCTTTTCTCCTGCTAGTCTATGAGTTCCATGAAAATGGGGACATGACTTCCATTCTCAATGGCTACCACGGTTCCTAACATAGTGCAGTGTCTCAAGAAATGCCTGGTAGAAGAATGAATGGGACCTAAGAGAATCCTCTGGAGTTTTAACTTAAACCCCTTGCCCTGCTCTGTTCTAAATGAGCATGGGGAAGCGTGCCCTTTCCTCTATGGTTGTGAGGGCATCTCCTCCAGCAACTAGGGCAGCAAGATGAGAGCAGAGGATGAAGAGGGATGGGGTCCTGAGAAGGGCATACGGGGAGATATGGAGTGACCTCTGTATAGCAGCCTGATTTTGAGATCAGTGAAGATAATACATAAAATCTGCAAGGAGAGCTAAAGGTAGGAAGGGCCCACAATCTGAAAGCAGTTGCACATAGACAGATAGACTTAAAGGCAAAATTGCTTTTACCTTTTTTTTCAATTGAGGTGTAACTGACATATAACATTATATTAGTTTCAGGTGTACCGCATGATTCAACATTTGTATACATTGTGAACACGCTGATCATCACAATAAGTCTAGCGAACATTCATCACTACACATAGTTACACATTTTTTTTCTTCTGATGATAATTTTTAAGATCCACTCTCTCAGCAACTTTCAAATATGCAATCCAGTTTTATTAACTACAGTCACCATGCTGTTCATTACATCCCCAGGACTTATTGTATTTTATAACTGGAAGTTTTGGCGCCCTTTACCCATTTCACCTATCCCCACCCCTCAGCTCTCGCAACCACCAATCTGTTCTCTGTATCTATGAGCTTGGCTTTTGTTTTTGTTTGTTTGTTTGTTTGCTTGCTTGCTTTTGAAATTTCACATATAAATGAGATCATATGGTATTTGTCTTTCTCTGCCTGATTTATTTCCCTTGGCATAATGCCCTCAAGTTCTGTCCATGTTGTCACAAATGGCAAGATTTCATTCTTTTTCATGGCTGAATAATGTTCTATGTCCCATGTTATGTGTGCATATAGACATATACACAGCATATTTTCTTTACTTATTCATCCACCAGTGGACACTTTGGCTGTTTCCATGTCTTGGCTATTGTAAATAATACTGCACTGAACTGGGGGGGAGATATCTTTTTGAGTTAGTGTCTTCATTTATTTGGATAAATGCCCAGAAGTGGAATTGCTAGATAATCCGGTAGTTCTAGATTTTATTTTTTGAGGAGCTTTTATCTTTAAAAAAAAAATCCTTCCATGACATTGTAAAGTTGGCCTAATAAGGAGTAATTTTAAAACTTGCCACAAGAGCAAATTCATCCAATACGCATTTACTCAGCCCACACTAGGTGCCAGGCACTGTTCTAGGCACTGGGAATACAATCCTAGAGAAGACAGCAGAAGTCCCTGACTTCTTTTCGACTTGAGGAGACATAAAAGGAATAAGAAAACAAATATAGAATTTCATTTAGAGATAATTACTGTGGAGAACAATAATACTTTGTCAGGGGAAGGGCGTGTCAGAGGCTGTTCATAAGCAGATGGTCTGGGAAGGCCACTGAGGGGAGGTGAGGTTTTCACTCCATGAAGTGAGGACCCAACCTTTCGAAGGTCTGAGGAAGATCATTCCAGACAGAAGTATCAGGATCTAAGGCAAGAGCAGGCTTGCATGCTGAGGAATAGTAATGAGGCTAGTAGGGCTGAAGAATGGGGTAATCAGAGGCAAGCTGACATGGATCTGGCAGACAGGTGATGGTGAAAGCTGAAGGACAACAGGAAGTGATAGAGGGTTTGAGCAGAGGAGTCACATGATCTTGACTTCAGTGTTTAAACCTACAGTGATGAGCTGGTAGGGGGTTAGAGAGCAGGAAGCAAGACCAGTTGAGAGCCATTGCCGTGGCCCAGATGAGAAAGGGCAGCAGAGTGGAAGGGACAGCGACAGTGGAGGTGGTGTGAAAAGCTTGGATTTAGAATGTTGAATTGATAGCTGACAGGACTGGCTGATGGATGGGAGGTGGGGTGCAGGGAAAGAGAGGAATCAAGGATGATTTCTAGGGTTTGGCCTTTCTTGATGGAATAATCGGTGGTGCCATTACCAGAGATGGGGGTGGCTCAGGGAAGGGCAGGCTGGGGGTAGAACGTCGAAAGCTATGTTTCTGAAGGAGGTAAGTTTGAGATGCCAGTGAGATATCCCAGGAGAGGCAGGGAAGTGAGTTTGGACTCAGGAGAAGTGTGAGGTCAGAAGTATAACCTGGGTAGTTATCTGCTTATAGGTGGCATTTAAAGCCACAGGATTCAGTGAGGTTACAAAGGAACTGAGTCCAGATGAAGAAGAAAGAAAAGTCAAGGCTGGGATGATGAGGAGGAGCCAGCGAAGGAGACGGAGAAAGAGTGGGCACTCGAGGAGGAGGAAGACCAGGCAAGGATGGTGACTGGGAGGTAAAAGGGGAAGATGTTTCCAGAAGGAGGTATTAATACAGTGAGAGAAACAGTGGAGGGCCAAAACAGTTTGACTTGGAGGAGGTCATCAGCTTTGTGGGCAATTAAAGAAGGTCTTTGCTTTTGGTTTCTGTGAATGCAATTATCATGTTGTTTATGAGATCCACAAAATGGGAAAGATGAGCAAGCAGAATTCAGAGTTTAATTTTAAAACTCACCAGCCAACAAAATTAATAATTTCTCTTGCCTAGAAGTTTTTCCATGGCCCTTCTCAAGAGGCCTCTTATCATGAGGATGCACCTGCTGCACTTGTCCTCACTAGGACATTTCTCCTTCTCATCAAATTCATTCTTACCTGCGTTGGTATCTGTACCTAATCTTTCTTGAAACCCAGCCTAAGTGAATGAGGTACCTGGTTGGCCAGGACCTCCCAAGGAGACTGGCCCCATGACACTCCAACAGAGTCAAGAGTGCCCTATAGCTCAATGCTGGGCACTTAGGAAGGGCTCAGCTCCCCAAAGCCATTCCAGTTCTGATTCTGATTCTACTGCTAATGCTCTAGATTGAGAGATGACTGGTGAGCCATTCCTGGGACTCAATTTATTCATCTTTGACACAGTGAGGTAGGTGCTCCTCTTTCAGGGAGAAATGAGAGGATGCAATTATCCTATTAGGTGAAATCCTGGTCCACGATCATCTGAGACTTACTTTATACCCCTTTGCAATGCTCTGTGGAGAAGCAGCAAGGGCGTACTTGGAAACAGTCCTGGACTTGAAGTGGAGAACTGAGGTTCAAGGCTTGGCTCCATCACTCCCGGGCTGTGTGAGTTTAATCAAGGCAGGCAGCTCCAGACGCTTCAGGCTTCTCAATGGCAAAATAAGGTCATAATTCCCATTCCACCCACTTTCCAGGATTATAGTAAAGCTCAAAGGAGAGAAAGCTGGTGACCATGCTTCGGGCACTGGGAGGTACTCCCCAGTTGTAGAGCTGGGCTCCAGACATCCTGGGCCATTCCCCTATCCAGGCTAAGCCTGG